GGCGTGAACCGTGCTATTGCTCATGCTAGCGGGATATTATCTTCTGCGGAGGCAAATTACTCGACCATGGAGAAAGAATGTCTAGCTGTTGCACGGGAGATTGCAAAGTTCCGACTATTCATCTACGGCCGCCCTTTCCATTGTGTTACGGATCACCACGCCCTCTGCTGGCTTGTGAATTTCAAAGACCCTTCAGGACGTCTGGCCAGGTAGAATTTACGCCCTCAAGAATTTGACCTAACAATCGTTTACAAGTGTTTGACGTGCTCCACTTACAACGATGGCAACTGATGACGACATCCCCGGTCGTTTCCTTAGCGCTATCAATGCATCTGACTTGGCGCAACAACAAAGGGCTGACGCCGAACTTCGAAATTCTAGCTAATATACTGAAGGGTGCTATTCGCACCCTCCACGAGCGTTCGCGCATTTGCCATCGTGCTTTTGTCTGCGTAGCGATGTTTTTATAAGAAGAACTTCAGCCAACACGAGACTGAACACCGGCCCTTCATTCCATCCGCACTGCGTCCAGATATTTTATCGAACTGCCATGATGGGCCTTTATCCAGCCACGTGGGATTCACACGCACCTTGGCTTGAATTTGTCAGCACTACTACTGGCTGAAACTCGTACAGGATGCGAAGCTTTATGTTAGGACGGGCCGTGAGTGCCTGCAAGATAAACCGCCACCACAGCAACCAACCGGTTTTCTAACACCTATTAAAACAGATTGATATGGACCTGCTCAGACATTTTTTCAAGTCTCACGGTCGCAACCACTGGATTGTCATCGCCACTGAATATATGACACGATACTGTGAAACTAAAGCATCACCACGAGGCAACGACAGTTAGATTGCCCACATTTTCATGAGAAACATCGTTCCCCTATTGAAAAAACAGCGTGATGCCAGTACGTTTTTTGCCACTGGTACACGCTTGTAATCACTGGCACTTTGCTAGGCGCACTGGGAAAAAGCTGTGTCGCACTGGTAGGGGCACTGCCTTAACCGCTGTGATGCTGGTGCGCACTGCAAAGTGCTAGAAGCGCTGGAATTTTCACTGGCAAGCGCTAGTGAATATTGGAGCACGCACTTCTTCTATACCAGTGCAGCAGCAGCGTGCATGTTATTGTAGCATGTGCCGTGGTTTGTTTCGGTGTCGCTGATTATAAAATGCTTGATTCAATGGCAGGGAGAGATGCTACCGTAACAGATACCAAGCATACGTAGTTTTTGTGGTGCACGTATGTATCGCAACAACTACAATGCAGCTTTTTCGCATATGCTCCCGTGTAAATAAGCCATGATCGCATCATCCATGTATTGCTGTATTGATTACAAATTGCAGTGTTTGTAAGCCTGGAGCTGAACGCCGCTCCTAACAGAAACAGGAAATAGTTTTTGCCGCAAAGTTGAGGAAACGTAATTGAGCTCTCACGATCGCTTCACAAGGTTTTCCAGCAGAGGCGAGAAAAAAAAGCCGTCGTTCGAATCCACCACACCATATAAATGTATGTCTGGTGATGCTTATCCTTCCCCTTAGTTCAGGTAAGAGTTAGAAATATTCCGAAGCTCAAAATGCAGAATCTTCAACCATACCAACTCAACGCGTTGAGAGCGGTCTTACCCAGTGCCCGGCCTAGTGAGCATTAAACCTGTCGGGCCAGCCGCGTTGATATATACGTTACCGGTGCTTTTTGCTTCGAGTACACAGAACTTTAAAGTGTGAGAATAACTGTAAAGTATAGTTTAGACATCCATAAACCTAAATAAACTATTTTCTCTTGTGTAGATGTTCGCACAAGGAGCGCTCACGATTGAACGTCGTGCTTTCAGCTACGCAGGCTGTCACCGTAAGCTGCCGGCTGCACTTAGCCGGTACTTCTCTGACTCGTAAGTAAAAACACGCAATTTTCAGTTAGTAATTAGGTACGCCTTCGTGAACTGACTCCCTGGCATACGTTTTCATCCGATTGCATTGGTATTTCCATGGGTGTTTTTTTAATTGTTGGTATTGATATAACTTCATATATCTCTACACTGGCACGCCCGCTGTACACTGCCAGCGGAGGCTAGAAAAACGGCTGTTGCTGGCCATTGCCCCTCCGTAAATGCATTTCTGGCATTGATTGACCTTCCACTTACTTCAGGCACAGTTTAGGTAAGAGTTAAAAATATTGCGAAGCTCCAATGCAGAAACATCAAGCATCGCAACTCAGCTTCTTCGAAAGCAGCCTTACCCGGTGCCCCGTCCCAGCGAGGCCTATCGTGCCGCCCACGTTGTTGTACCTGCTGCCGGCGCTTTTTACTTTAGGTAGGCACAATTCTTAAGTGTGAGAATGACTTTAAAGTACAGTTTAGACATTCCTGAGCCTAAATTGACCATTTATCTGCGTGTGCAGTGCCCGCAGAAGGAGCGGCGACGATCGATGTGTCGTGCTTTCAGCAACGTAGGCTGTCACCGAAAGCTTCCTTCTGAGCGCAGGAGCCGGTACCTCTCTGACTCGTACGTAAGAACACGCAATTTTGAGTTGGTATATTTGGTACGCGTTAGTGAACTAACATACTGGCATACTTTTTCAGTGGATTGCCCCGCCGCGGTGGTCTAGTGGCTAAGGTACTCGGCTGCTGACCCGCACGTCGCGGGTTCAAATCCCGGCTGCGGCGGCTGCATTTCCGATGGAGGCGGAAATGTTGTAGGCCCGTGTGCTCAGATTTGGGTGCACGTTAAAGAAACCCAGGTGGTGAAAATTTCCGGAGCCCTCCACTACGGCGTCTCTCATAATCATATGGTGGTTTTGGGACGTTAAACCTCACATATCAATCAATCAATTTTTCAGTGGATTGCATTAATCATTTCTTCGGTGGTTTCTTAGTTGCAGGTATCAATATAACTGCAAATATGTAATCTGGCACGCCGGATGTGTACTGCTACATTGTAGTTTGCGCGAAAAAAAAAAACAACTCAATAGTCACTCGTGTGCGTTGATATCTACCAAACAAGACGTGTAAATAATCTCTACTTGTTGACCAGTAGCAAGTGCTAGAAACGACTATCAGAGGAAAAAAAAAACTATCGGCAGCAACAGCTGACAATTTGTGGCTGCTCCTCAGAGCTAAGAGTTAAGATGTAGATTTTTCAGGGTTAAGATGTGGATGCTTAAAAAACTTTGCGCTTTTGCTAATATTCTCACGTCATTCGCTGCCCGGAAGCCTTTCGTCACTGTCGAATCAAGACGAAATTGTTATTTGGAAAGGAATATCGTGTCAGTCTTGACTGTGTGATTTGATTTGTAAACATGAACTTGAACGGCGTGCTCTTCGTATGAATAGTCGTTTTAGAACCCCACAACCACGGTCTGACGTGGCGTTGTGGGTAGCGTACTTGGTCAGAGATGAGGAGGTAGCAAGCGTAAATCCCGTCCGGCAATGTTTTTCTTTTATTTTTATTGTTTATTTTTATTGTGAATGCGCGTAATTTTACCTATATGTTTATTTATTTATTTATGGCGAATGGGCACCCCCATTTTCTACCTGGGAAGCGATTTTGCGCAGAGCACTGGGAGGCTGCCGCTCCAGCGTCCCAGTACCTGCGCTGAGAGGCGCTGGTACCAGCGCCATACTTGGCCCATAATCAGGCATGGCGCTGGTCGCTGGAACCCAATGGCGCTAGTTTTTGCAATAGGGTATCCTCCACGAAGCACCATCAGTCGTAATAACTGATCGCAGAACAGCTTTTACCGCCCAGATGATGGAGGATGCCCTGCAGCTTAGTAGAATCGCGCATAGGAAAACGACTGCATACCACCCACAAAGCAACGGCCTTACAGAGAGGCTAAACAAGACGATCACCTACATGCTTTTCATGTACGTTGATCAACGCCACAAAAACTGGAATGTTTTCCCATACATCACGTTCACCCAAAACACTGCTGGTAAAAGAAGCTACCGGGTTCACACCATTTTATTTGCTCCTTGGCAGGGAGTCAGCCACTATGCTGGATGTCGTGCTTTTATCCGACAAGTGCACCGTTAACGTCAACACCAATGAATTCATCCGACTCGGGGACGCAGCTTGCAAGCTCGCACTCGAAAGAGTCCATAACCAGCAATGCATCGACACCATGCAGTACGATGATCGTCACTGCCAGTTTATTTACAGACTCAGCGATCAAGTCTGGCTGTGGACCCCCAATGGCCAGCAAGGCAGTTCAGAAAAGCCATCGCACTGCTACTTTGGTCTTTATAGAGCTCTTCGGTGTCTCAGCGAAATGAACTACGAAGTTCTCCTCGAAGATACAGCTTGTCGATACCGTTGTTCACCGCAGCCAGATATCGTCCACGATTCGAGGCTGAAACCATTCTACCAACGTTAACTACCCGTTAAACCTATGCGTCACTTTGTGAACGCTCCGTCACCCTCAGCATGAGTGTCTCCGCATTTTCTCTTGTAATCACGCACCCGCATCACGACGATGCTTCCTGGTGAGGAAGGGCAATGTCATATGCATTTTAAAGGAATAAAAGTATACGGTAATCAAGCTGTGCAATACTCTTGGTTACACCATTGCATCAAAAAACAACGGAACATATATTCAAAACGAAATACATTTCGCAACAACTGCCTTCATCCAGGCATTTTCATTGCTATAAGCTATAATGCTCATTTGTTTCGTACAGTAATTTGCGATTGTTTATCAGTGTTACCTTTTCTTTTTGGCCTGCTAAACATATACTTATTTTTACTTTCAATTGTATTCGTTCTCACAAAAGAAAGTGTACCACTGATTGATGTACTTCTTCTTAGCCACTCATATATTAGACCCCCTTCCCGCCGAGAGTATCGAACTTTAAAAATCTATCTCTATTCCCAGTCTTGTACTAGTATTACTGATGTTGTATATACTTTGACTAGGATTTCACATTTACCTTTCTCCTGAAGGTCCCCAATATGCCAAATGACCGTCAATAGTGTGCATGCATTGTAGGATACTTACGATAATCACAACAGTTCTTCCAACCATGACAACCTTTAAAAGGCAGTGTTTTGTTCACTTCGCACTGATAGAAAGTTATGCAAATATATCCCCGTCCCTCACAAGTATCATCCACCAGGTAGGCTGTAAACGATGAGAAACAATTGAAGAATCAGTTTATGTTATCGTGCAATTCAGAACTATAATGCCTGCACATTTTTTTAAAGCGAGAGTGAATAGCGAACCAATTTCTCTCGTAATAGTAAAATTGTCTTTTCCAGTACCAAAGTAACTATACGTGTGTAGTGTGACGACAATCGGCACATAAAAAGGGCAAAAAAGTGGCGATGGCGCCAGCTTGATTTTATTACATAAATCGCTGTGACCACATACCTTTTGACGCAACGTGCCAACCCTTACGAAGTTATAAGTAAACTTTATTACACTGCCTTGGAATTTCCGCGCACTCAATGCCCACACCTTACAAGACTGTGATCCACTTCCCCACATACAGATCTTTACTACCAATTACGTTCGGTGCGCAAATTTCTCTAAGATAGACTTAGTGAAGGCTTACCATATAATTTCTGTAGAACCCACCGACACTCCGACGACGGCGACCACCATCCCAGTTGGTCTGATTGGATACGTAAGGGTGCCTTGTGGATTGCAGTACAGTGCAAAGACTTTTCAATGCACTATCAACGACGTCATGCGAGGCAGAGATTTCGTATTTACCCACCGTGATGATCTCCTTGTCGCAAGCTCATCTGGCTCTGAGCACGATTCATACCTGCCCTCTCTGTTCCAATGCTTTGATGATTTTGACCACGTAATTATTTCCAATAAGTGCCTATTTGGCGTCGCTACCAATGAGTTCTAAGGCCATCTTGTCACTTCTCTCGGTATCCAGCCACTCGCCAGCGAAGTGAAGGCTACTCAAGGCTTTGCACGGCCAGCATTACTGAAAGAACTCAGAGAATTATTTGGCCTAAAAAACTTCTATCGGCGCTATTTTACAAAGTGTGCCAAGTTTCTAAATCCCGGGACTGACCTATCGGCTAGAAGAGATGACCCTGCTGCGCCACTAAAGTGGGCTGAGGACGCTGATTGTGCTTTCGTCATGACCTCTGGCATACGCCAAGAAGCTCCTTCATCCTGTTTGTGATGTGACAATTTGTATCATTAGCGCTGCATCGAGTGTAGCAGTTTGAACCATTCTTGAGCAGCACGTATCCGGTTGGAAGCCCCTTGGTTTGTTCTCGCAAAATCTTAAGCCACCGGAAGCAAAATACGGTGCATTTGCCCGAGAACTCCTTGTAGCATACTTCGCAAGCAAACGTTTTTATTACTATAGCACTTACATGAGATCTCTCCGCTGGACTTCGCTGTCGGTGTCGATGACATGCACCGTATATGTATGCGTATATATATATATATATATATATATATATATATATATATATATATATATAAGGGATATGGCACAACGGGAGCGTTGTCAACAAGGATAAATATATTTATTTCCCAACAGTTTCGGGAGGGATTCTCCCTTCATCAGGAGATGAGTTATACTGACTCAGTATACCTCATCCCCTGATGAAGGGAGGATCCCTCCCGAAACTGTTGGGAAATAAATATATTAAATATATTTATCCTTGTTGACAATGCTCCCGTTGTGCCATATCCCATACCTTCACGAAGACTAACTGGCCCATTGAATTATTACTCCCACTATATATATATCTATATATATATATATATATATATATATATGGAAATTCAGGAAAGAAAAAATCCAGAATAAACACTGTGGCGTGCGGAATCCAACGTGGGACCTCTGCTTCGTGCAAGCAAGGCGTCAACCAGTGAGCCACCCCGAAGCACAACATTCACCGTTCAGGCGGCAAGCTACATATATCTACGACTTACCACTGCTCAAGACCATCTCGGGGGGGGGGGGGCATTGTGTTTTCAGCAATAATAGCAAGATGGCGCAATGCGCATGCGTCGCCACATCGCGCGGCGGCGCCCACTCTAAGCTTCACGCTACAGTGCTCTAGATCTTATGCGTACTTTTCCCGGCTTAGAGAAAGAAAGCAACGCTCCCTCACATGTCCTTAACTCGCGGCGGCGAGGAGGGGAAGGTCATACGCCTTGGCTGGCCTCGGGCTTTACCTGCAACGATTCTGCTACAGTTACCGGGTGCACAAAGGTCACTGCAACAATTGCAGTTTCCATATGCGAAAAGCGCGTGCTTTTCAGACGCAGCAAAGTATCAAATGAGCCGATTATTAGCGTGCATCCGTACCTATGAGTACATTTTTGCGTCATTTGTGCGTGATGAACACGGGGTATGTTTCGATCTGCTTTCCATTCTGCGCGTGACCTTTCAATTCGTCGCTATCGAGTTGATTGCTTCGCCTTTCCGGCAAAGCTTTCTTTTTTTATTGCGACGAAGACTTGCCTTTAAAGTATAATATTTTTGTGTTAAATGTGTGCTGTTAGGCCGGTGTTGTGTATGAAGTGAAGTAGTGTCTTGTGGAATCTGTTTTCATGTATCCAGCGGTTGTAACTGGCTTTGTCGCTGTAGCGAAGGCCGGCTTGAGCGAGGTGACGGGAGCGTTCTGGCTGCAACCCTTTACATGTCCATAAAAGGTGGTATGTATCTGCTTGCATCACAGGAGTGGAATTCCACTCATGTGATGCAAGCAGATATGACCAGTTCCATGAAGATATAACGGCCGGTGTAAGAGCCACCCCTGCCCGAAGCCTCCTAAGCACAACTTCCTCCGCCCTAGTAAGGTGAGGGGGGAGAGACCAGACACACGGTGGAATGAGAGCACGTGTATCCTGCCGGAGAACATTTTTACGGGTATGGAGTAAATTTAGGGGCTGAGGTGGAAGGGGAATGGCTGGAAGGTGTATGTCTGGAGGGCAGTGCGCCCGCTGGTCAGCAGCAATGTTGTGTGGGTTCGCAGCATGGCCTTGAATTCAATGTACTTTTACGCAAGTAGTTGTATTATGGTTAAGCTTATGGATCACCTCGCAGATCTTCATCGCCTTGTGTACTTTCTTGAGCTCCTAAATAGCTTCTAAGAAATAAGTGTATACGTCAATCTGCCTGATTGTGGGCAGCTTCAAGGTAGCATATCGGACTGCGTCCTGGATAGCTTGAAGCTGCATCACAAGAGGAGGGGCTTCCGTAGGTAGATAACGCTGGTGGCCTCTGACAAAAGTATGCGTAGTACTCAGGAATGATGTCCTTTCACCGTCTTGTAGGATAGAAGCATCTGTATATAGTTTGCAGGTATTAGCGCAAAGCTTTCCCTTTTTGTGATTTACTGAACAGCCAGAACTTTTACGTCGTTGAGACCACAATGCACAAGAGACCTGTCAACTATGATTTATCACCGAGTTCATTGTGGATCTCATCCATGTTCAAGAGCGGAAAATGCTATGACTGATGCCCTCTCTCGAGTCAATGCCTTATCAGCTCAGCCACGAATAGAAATAGAAGAACTTGCAGCTGCCCTGACAACGATCTTGAGCTGCATCTTCTTTGTTCTCCATCTATGTCTCTATCATTCACAGAAGCCCGATTCTATTTTTACATCTTTATTGACGTGCGAAACGCCTACTGGCGTGACTCGGCCCTTTGTGCCATCAGCCTTTTGTCTTGCGACTTTTGAACAACTGCACAACATGAGCATTTTTGGAATTCGTGGGACTCAAAAGCTAGTCACCTCTCGTTTCCTTTGGCGAAGCATAAATGCTGACGTGCGACGCTGCGCGCGTACCTGCCTTCTGTGGCAGCGTGTAGAAGTTCACCTTCACACTGTCAGGCAACATCCTTTTTTGGGTGTCTTGCGCAAGAGCTTGCCACGTCTTTCTGGACATTGTCGGTCGTTTTCCGCCATCACAAGGGGCATGGTACCAGCTGACATGCGTGGATTGCTTCACCAGATGACCAGAAGTGTTTCATTTTTCTACATCATAGCACCAACAGTTGCTAAGGATTTCACAAACGGCTGGGCTTGGTGTCGCGATTTCAATTCCTTTCTGTCCTCACCACCTATCATGGTCGTCATTTTTGATCCGAAATTTTGACCACACTTGCCAATAACCTGGGCTTTTGACACATTCACAAGACTACCTACCATGCATCCGTGAACGGCCTCGTCTAACAGCTTCATCGACAATTGAAAGCGGATCTCACTGCTAACCAACTAACGAAGGGAACATTGGCTCTACGACCTCCCTTTCATACTTCTTGGCATCCGATCAGCATTTACCGCGGTTGTCAGATGCTCACCAACGGAGCTAGTCTACGGCGTTTTCCTGTGTCTTGCAGGTGAATTCTTTCGAGTCGTCATTGCCACCTTCAACTTATGATGCCTCCACTTACTTAAGAAAGCTGCGCAGCACCTTTCGAGACCTTGCACCTGCAATTCCTACCGACCGACACTCCAAGTCTGTCTTCGTTAGCCAGGGTCCGGGTCACTGCACTCATGTCTTCGTTCAACATGCTAAATAGGAGCGCCCCTCACGGTGTCTATGATGGCGGATTTCGCGTACTTTGTCGTAGGCCAAAGTTGTTCCCGCTGCACATTAAGAGCCGCAAAGGCGTTGTGGCTGCGGATCGCTGAAACCTGCATACGTCACTGCTCTCGCGTTCGGGGTACTTACATCTGTAGTGTAAAAGTCCTCATCTAAGCATGCTTATTGGGCCACTCCTATGGCCTATGTTCTACAGAAGAAGCCCTGTAGCGCCTCGTAACGTAGTGCCTGTCAAAAAAGAACTTGGTATTTAGCTGTGCGGTGCCTGCAGGGCGAGAATAAAAACTCAGTTTTAAACTCAATTTTGTCGAACCGGTTCTTTTTCTTTCTGGCACCAACGTGTTGATCGAAGTGTTTGCTCACTGTGGCTTTAGGCGGTGTTTATTACGCACAATGCGTCCTATTTCACGGCGAAAGTGTTTGTGGATGCGGCCTCTGTATATTTATTCAAGTACTACAAAAGAATCACGTATCACGTAACCTGACAAAACGAATAACACGGAACCTTAAGCTCTTGCTGACAGCCTTTGCGCAGCAACACTGCGATTGGGATGCCTGTCTTAACGAGATAGGCTTCTACTTGC